GTACATACGCATTAAGACAATGACTAAATAACCACTTACGAACACACATTGAGACATAGAGCCCATACTTACAGGATGCGATCCTTGACCAACCCCACCGCTACGCGCATAATAACGACTGGGAACGTAAAACAGAGGCGTACCTAAAGGACCACGCACAAAACGGCTTCTGGCTGGGTTTGGAAACAATAGCAGCATCGGACATATTTAACGTCGCAATCGAAATACATCACGAACAGGGGCGTAAACGGAGAGAGGAATTTTGCCGAAATGGCTATCCGGGGTATTGTTGGATGACGTATCGTGGGTTTGGTCAACTGTTTTATTGGGCTGAGGATCTGTATAGCTAATTTAACCATACAGATCCGCAGTTTAGTGGGACAGTTGACTGATTTCGCGATGCGTCGTTTGACGGTGCTTTGGATGGTTATTTTGGCAAAATTTTTCTCTCCATGTACTGACAAGATATCGCCCAGAGTCCTCCTAGAAGGAAAAACAATCACCAACCGTGTCAGGGTGGCACAACTAAAATACTGGGCACATGCCGACCCGGAGACGGACACAGAAACTGACGAACCGGAAGTAAACCAACAAAGATAGGAGTAAGCAAATAACTAACATACCCACCCCCCATTCACGAATACCAATTGAATGGGGGTACTACTAAGGCCTAGGTTCAGGAGGATTCCGGATTGTACTTAGTTTTGGGTCAGTTCAATGTCCTTCAAAAACTCTTCCTAAACTGGACGTATGGCCCGACCCGGCTGACAAAAATCCCGGGAGCGGCCTTAACCTTTGACACTGTCATCCACGAACTCCTAGGGTGGATCTACCAGCCGGCGTAAAAACTTCGGATCCAACAAACACAGGTAATGCTGTGATTTGGCGGGATACGCAGGAGAACGGAAAGGGGGTAAAATAACACCGGGAGATCAGTGGATGATAATATATCTGGGGCCTGCCATACGTTCCCATACTCATACTCATACTCATACAAACATAATTAACTATTATTAATAAGGTACTTTTTAAAAGAAAACAAGCTTACATTAAAAATATCGATATTACAGGAATTCAGATTACGTGCCAATCTGGGCACACAACTGAATTGCCTGTAATTAGTTCTACACAATGGAATATGTATTAATGCACTATTTCGAGTATTGATGGTAGGTACACGTAAAGAAAATAGTTTCAATATATCAGAACAGTTAATCAAATTATTAAATACCTTAAACATACAAATTTTATCAAAGTTTATACGCCGTGTTTCTAGCGATTTTATTCCTAGCAAGGATAACTTATGATTATAACTAATATCATCAGAAATCTTAAGTTTAAATAGCAAAACTTTCACAATTTTTTTCTGAGGTTTTTTAATCAAGTTAATATAACACTATTGTGAGGGTTTCCATATAACTGATGCGTATTCTAAAATGCTACGAGACAAAGAATTAAAAAGAATAAGAATAGCATGGATATCAGTAAAATCTTGACATTGTCTAATAACAAAACCACATATTACACCTTATTAACAGTTTTGTCAATATGCTGGATAAAAGTTAACTTTGTATCAAACAGTACACCTAAATCAGTCATAGTGGAGACTCTTTCCAGTTCATTATTATTAATAAAGTAATTATAATTGCAAGTACTAGTACTTTTAGAAAAAGAAATTACCTTACATTTACTTATATTTAACTCAAGAAAATTATCATTACACCAGTCAACAATACGATCAAGATCTGATTCGAGCATTTGGTAATCCAAAAGTGAAGATACTTTTTTATACAACTTTAAATCATCCGCAAATAAAAGAAGTTCACAAAATTCAACACATGTAGTAATATCATTAATAAAAAAAAATAAAATGTGACCCTTGCGGTACTCCTGAAGTAACATCAATAAATTATTAAGGATATCCTAGAATAACTACATCTTGCCTTCTATTAGTTAGGTAACCTTCTAGCCAGCTGTGTAAAGCACCAGTAATACCATAAGACTTTAGTTTCAAAAGCAATAAATTGTTCATCCATAATAAAAACACAAAATCCTATCATGGTAGTCAGTGACATATTATTATTTAAGGCAATGTCATTGTATTATTTCAATATTCAATTAATTAATAATTATTTGTTTAGTGTTAAATATAAAATAAAACTTCATTAATTTAACCAACATTTTTCTACAATTTTCGTTCCTAGGCTCATTTTGACATCATATGGAAGTCCACTTCCAACGTACATTGTATGTACATTTATTACATAACATGGACATCCTATAGTGTGCCAAAGTTACGTTATATGTACGTACATGGAACGTCCATATAATATTCTTGGACATACTATGGATATCCATTTGTATAGAGATGGATGTCCTATGGACACCATATGGACGACTTTGTGCTCTACGGGTCAATGAGGAGAAGAGCTGAAGCATACTTTCAGGTGGTGGCCACTTTCAACAGCTAATCTAAATTATTTTTGTTTTTATTTACCTTATTTCATGTTAGGTCTTTTAAAATTATTTTATAATTAAATTTAATTTTAATGTTTATTTAATCATGGCATTGTTTTCTCAATATGACCATTAAATGCTTTTTATTTTTTTCATCGAAAATCGTTAGTCGTACGAAAAATGGTCAAGAAATCAAATTTGCCCTAAAATGAAAGGGGATTTAATATATAATTTTTATTTTGAAAACTAGCAGTGGCGTGCATAATATTTTTCCAAAAATATCTAGACCACATCCTGTACGGACGCCACTGGTAAAAAATAGAAAAAATCTTCTACATCAAAAACTTACTGTTAATGCTTAGAATCTAGGAAGTTATTAAAGTTATGATAAAAAAACGATTTTTTTCTTAAAACTTTAACACCCTGTAACTCAAAAATTAAGAGGTTTAGGACATAGGTTTATTTGAACTTTTTTTCTTAAATTCAACTAAGGATTCACACCCTTAAGGTTCAGCATCTTATTCTGAAACACCCTGTATAATACATAATACTATATTCGTTTTTGGTATTTTACAGTTGAGTGAAGACTTTCTTAATCAACGTTTTTAATTATTTATATTGATGTTTGCATTTAGACGACTTATTTGTTTTATGATTCTGACTGAATTTAAATGTTTACAATTTTTATGTAAATCATTAATAAAATGCATATTTGTTGTATCTAATAGGTACAAATGATATTTACAGGAACTGTTTGCAATTTATTTCATCATTCGTATTCCCACTTTTTATTGGGAAACCGGGAAAACCTCAACCCCGAATTTTTCTTTCGAAAAACGCCCAAAAACACAACAAATCGTTCCACTTTTTTATTCGATATTTTTAACATAAAATCTGCATTACTTTTTATTTATAAATTTCTTAAGCTAATTGTTTTCTATTCTTTTAAATAAATGACAAAAATTAAATTCAATTTTAAACCCTTATAACCCTGTATATTTTGTTTATTTAAATAAATAAACATTAAGATTTAAAAATATATTTTACAAAACTTTATTAAATTTATTAAAACATAATTTTTCTTGATGATCCCAAAATGTAATACTATTTTATAAACATCGGTTTCAGAATTATTTAAATTTTAATTTACCTATTTTTTTCTCAAAAGTCAAGATTGGTTGTGTACATTCTTATACAACATAAAGTAAAGAGTTACATGACTTTTGGTTAAAACATTGTTTTTTTAATTTAGTTTTATTTTTAAAAAGGGTAATACACTAATTTTTACTGCCATTCAATATTTATTCCTTTCAATAGTATATTCTTTAACAAGTTTGGAAATACGGCATATTCCGCTCGAGTGAACTAGAACGCCTTTAGCGGAATATGCAAATCTAAACGTGTTTTAGACTAGGTATACTTTTTGTACGTTTCTAAAAAATACTAAAGAAAAATAATTTAATTGGGAGAAAGTGAGGTTGGATCGGTCTAAAATTTGTTAGATATTAAACACAGAGATGTCTCCACCAGTGTTTATTCCGTCATCCGATGATAGAATAGTATATTCTGTAACAAGTTTGGAATACAGCATATACCGCTCGAGTGAAGAGATTGTCACACGAGCCGAAGGGGAGTTTGACGGTTTCACGAGAGCGGAATATGCAGTATTACCACTGGCTCACTTTTCTCACTTTTTTCATAAAAACTCACTTTTGCTCACTTTTTTGTTGTTTTCTCACCTTTCTCATTATTTTCAAAATTTTCTTAGGTGAAAAAAACCAAAATTCTTAAATTTTTGTGTTTTCTGCATTTATTTTTATATAAATGGAATCCACATTATGCAACCCAGTTTGTATGAAGGTTTATCGGCGAAGATCATTAAGTAAATGGTTACCTATTTGTTTATTATTTCGTTATTTTGTCTATTGGTAGTGGTAAGTACATTATATGGGTGCTTATTGTTTTTGTATCCTGAGTTTTTCTTTTTTGTTTAGGTTACTTAAAATGAAGTGTAAGGTTAAAGATGATTGGCTTAAAAAAAATGATGCCAACGGACACAAAGTGTCTTTTTGGGGTGCTAAACAATCTGACACGTCAGTGTTTTGCAAAATTTGCACTGCTTCGATTAATTGTGAGTTAAAAGGTTGTCAGGCAATTATCCAACATTCGACAACATCCAAACATAAAGAAAATGCAAAAATAAAATTAAATCCATTACAACTAAGACTTTGCAAAGGACCTATCGATAAAGGTAATGAAGCTCAAGCTATTGATGTTTCCAAACACACCTTGTCACAATTATGTTCAATGAAAGATAATGCAATTAGGACTGAACTCCAATGGGTGATAAAATGTGTATTAGAAAATTATTCCATCATGTGACAATATTGGGTATTTGTTCAAGAGTATGTTTCCTGCTGGGGGTGTGGAAGATTTTACTCTTGGACGAACAAAGGCTGGTTACTATGCTACGGAGGCACTTGGACCACACTTTAGGTCTCAACTCCTCAATGATGTGTTGAATGAATATTTTTGTCTTCAATATGATGAAACAACCAACACAGGAAAATTTAAAGAACTTCAAGTCTCAATTCGATTCTGGTCTAGAAAAGAACTACTACTATGCTACGGAGGCACTTGGACCACACTTTAGGTCTCAACTCCTCAATGATGTGTTGAATGAATATTTTTGTCTTCAATATGATGAAACAACCAACACAGGAAAATTTAAAGAACTTCAAGTCTCAATTCGATTCTGGTCTAGAAAAGAACAACAAATAGTTACCAACCATCTTGAAACATTGTTCCTAGGATCAGCCACAGGGGATATTTTAATGAAGTATTTAATGGAAGCAATTACAAACGCTGAGTTGCCATTATCCAATGTTAGCATCAGATGGACCAAACGTAAACAAGAAAGTCTTTAAATTAATGAACGCAGCAGTTAAAGAAGATTGTCAAAAAGGGCTAATTGATATCGGCTTCTGTAATCTGCATGTTGTTCATAATGCTTTTGGTAAGGCATTACAAGAGTTTGGCAAGGAAACCTCGGATTTGGTTATTTCTGTCCATTCATTCTTTGAAGGTTGGCCATTACGTTTAGAAGAATATACTTTAGCACAAGAACATGAGAAAGTTCCAGTACACCGATTTTTAAAGCATGTACCGAACAGATGGCTGTCTCTTTCTTCAGCAGCAGCTAGACTCCTTGAGCAGTGGCCAGCTTTAGTAAGGTACTTTCTTCATGACATTCCATTAAAAGGAAAAAAACAACTAATGCAATCCAATCATTATAAAGAAATATGTACTGCACTAAAAAGTCTCGCCAGAAAAGCGGAAGTACCATTTGTTGTAGAAAGTGCTCAAATTTTTGAACGGTTTTGTACAATTTTCCAAAAAGAAGAACCTCTTGTACATATTTTGTATAGGGAAATGTCCTATTTAGTAGTCTGTTTAATGGGAAGAATTTGCAACCTGAAAAATTGGTTGATTTGCAAAACTCAAAGATGGCACTAAATTCTGAAAATCTCCTTCTAGTATCGGACATTAAGTGTGGAGGAGAAACAGAAGCATTAATTAAAAATTTAAGTGAAAAGGATTGTTTGATTTTTAAAAAATTTTGTAGCGGCGACCGAATATTTGCTAGAAAAATCAATACTTGTTTTAGGAGGAGTTCTATAGTATTTTAAATGCCTATCACCTGATCAGAGATTAAAGGAACAAAGCAGCCGATATATCCTAAAAGTTGCACAAGCTCTTCCTTTAAACATTTCACTGGGAAAGTTAACTGATGATTGGAATCTTTTGCGGTTAGAAGACGCAAACCTAGTAAACATAAACAAAGATGGAAAAATACTTCGCGTTGACCATTATTGGCGACAAATTTTTGAGTTAAAATATCCTACTGGACAGCCAAAATATCCAGAACTACAGCGCCTAGTAAAAGCTGCCCTAACTTTAGCACATGCCAGCGCAGATGTCGAAAGACAATTTTCAGTTTCTGGTAAGCACGAACATTAAATGCAAAGTTTTTTTATTTTTTTAATATGATGATTTTATTTATTTATTTTTGTTAAGACTAGAAGATGAGAATTTTATTTATTTATTTTTGTTAAGACTTTAGAAGATGAGAATTTTATTTATTTATGTTAAGACTGTAAAATATGAGAATTTTATTTACATTAAATAAAGTTGATCTACTTATCAATACAAAGGTTTTCTTTTTATTTCTTTTTTAATGCTACATCAGTAAACAATATTTATTTATCTATTGACTATTTTCTCACTATTTTCGTTAAAAAACTCACTTTTCTCATTTTTTCTAATACACTGATCCAGTGGCAACTCTATATTATAGCAATTCCAAACGTGTTTCATACTATACTTTTTCTACGTTTCCAAAAAATACCATAGAAAAATAATTTAATTGGAAGAAAGTGAGGTTGGATCGGTCTAAAATTTGTTAGATATTAAAAACAGAGATGTCGCCACGACTGTTTATTCTGTCATCCGATGATAGAATATTTCATTCTGTAACCCTTTAAGGAATATATGTCATTCCATAGATAAAAGTGATATTAGAACGGTAAAATTCCGTAATATGAGTAGAAAATAATTAATTCTGTAATACTTTAAGGATTATATGTAATTCCTCATTAAAAAGTGAAATTAGAAAGGTTATATTCCGTAATAGGAGTAAAAAAATAATATTCTTTGTACAATTCTTCAAGATATGCTTTATTTTTCCATGAAAATTTTTCTTTACACCTCTCTGGATACATTTCTTCAAGTTTCGAAACAAATAATAGTCGCTGGAGGATGAAAAAGTAATTTTTCCCAATTGATGAATAAGACGGTGCATTGTGTGAGAAAAAACAGTTTTTTTTCTTTACTAAATGCAGTTGTTTTTCGGGAATAAGGTACCTATCGATCCTAAACAATGCTTACTTATTTATTTTGTATAGGTATTTTTTGCTTTCTAAAAATAACAATAGCTATTGTTACTTTTAGAAAGCAAAGCAAGGTGTCTATAAAATTGTAAAGTTAATGGTGGTGGTGATGTGTCACAAAGAAATAATTTTCAATTTTTCGATTTAATAATTTTGATGTTAAAGATGCAGTTTGCTTTAATAAAGTTTTCATTAGGTACAATTGGCGTCCCCGAAATATGAACGGCAAAATTTAATAGTGTAATATGGGCTTTGCATCAGTGTCGTCAGTCGTTGTCAAATTTGAGAATAGTTGTCAATTGCAATATTAAAATTGCCACCCCACTTAACCGAGGCTCAGAGGTCCAGGGCAATAGCCAAATTAGAAGAAAATTGGTCTTTAAGTGAAGTAGCTGCAGATTTAAATGTCAGTAAAAGCTGCATATTTTATATCCAAAAACGTTGGCAAGAACAACAAAGATTAAGAAGACCTATCAGGCAAGGTGTAGGAAAAATCTCCAACGAAAATAAACACAATGTCGCAGATATTAGGCAAAATCCTTTCAATAGCGTAGTTAAGGCCCGAGAAGATACACAATTTTCAGGATCTCTTCGAACAGCTCAAAAAAAATTGAAACAAGCTGGTTTAAAAAACTTTGCAGCTGCTCATAAGGTTTTTTTAACTGACGATAATAAGCTCAGGAGAGTCCAGTTCGCCAATGACTATTTAAATTATGGAGACGATTTTTGGAATAATGTTATATTTTCGGATGAAAAAACGTTCCAATCTTGCAATAATGGAAGGCTGCGTGTATATCGTCCAAGAAACGCAAGATTTGAGGAGAACTATACATTAAGAACCTCAAATAGTGGACGCTTTTCCATAAATGTTTGGGCAAGGATAAGCATCCATGGTCCGGGAGTATGTTGGGAAATTGATGGTAGATTAACGGCTGAGCACTATACGAGGATTTTGGACAACGTTATGCTACCTTCAGTTAGACATGTGTTTCCAGAAAACTTTATATTCCAACATGTAAGAAAACTGTATAGTATTCAAAAACGATTCTAATAAATATTATATTACAGGACAATGCACCAGTTCACACAGCTCGCGTGGTTACAGAGAGGGTAAACAACAACCACATAACTGTTTTGCCATGGCCAGCTAGAAGCCCTGACTTAAACCCCATTGAAAACGTGTGGGGTTTTATAGTTAAAAATATATATCACCGGGACTTTAGGCCAGCAAACCGAAATAAACTATGGAGTGCTGTTGAAAATTCTTGGGATGAGCTTGCTGAGTCATACGACATGCGTGAGCTAATAATGTCCATGCCAAGAAGGTTGCAAAGGGTTGTGGCAGCTAATGGCTCTGCAATTAAGTATTAAAATAGCTTAGAAGACATCCTGGAAATTGTGTATCTTCTCGGGCCTTAAATGCGCTATTAAAAGGATTTTGCCTAATAAGTGCGACAAGAGCATTGTCTTCATTTTCGTTGGAGATTTTACCTACACCTTGCCTGATAGGTCTTGTCAATCTTTGTTGTTCTTACCAACGTTTTTTTATATAAAATATGCAGCTTTTACTGACATTTAAATCTGCAGCTATTTCACTTAAAAACCAATTTTCTGAGCAATATGTTAATTTAGTTATGTTATTTTTATTGTGTATTTACCTAATTGTTAATTTATATTGCTGTATAAAACCAAATTAAAGTTAATTTATTTGTTATATTGTTTATGTTATTGTTTGTTAAAATATTATTAAAAAAATAGAACGATTTAGGATATTGTTCTTATTCTTAGTATTCTCCCTTCTATATGTAACACCACTGGCCGATCCAGGAATGAACGAATAAATTTTATGAAAAAAATCCATGACAACAAAAAATCGTTCACATTTCGGAGATGCCAATTGTACTGTTGTTTCGGCTCTGACAAACGACATGTTTAGCCTAGATCGACTCGAATTTTCTTTACTAAATAAAAATGACTAATGACTAAATAACCCAGAAATCACTATATGAAGGTGGCTGCAAATGCTAAACACAAAGCTTACTCCAAAACTTAAGAGCACCAGTGATCAAACGGAAAAGAAAGCAGAAAAACTTGTCAAATACGTGGAAGAGTATTTAAAAAAAAACTCAAAGGATCGTAAACTAGATAGAGCTAAATTAGCCCCTTAACACTACAAATAACAACAAAATCGGGTAAAGGATATTTAAGATATTTACGAAAAACCAATTTATAAAAGTTTAATACACAGGGTAAAACCAAAGCTGTCACTTATAAAATCAAAAATACTTGTGTTTATGTTTCTACCAGGTAGAAGTTACATGTCTCGGATAAATAGATCAGGGTTCTGAAATTAGAAGACTATTGTCATCTAATGTATATTTTATTATAAGTGTTTCATTTTTTTCTCGTCAGCACTGTTCTGTTCTTATTACAAAGTAGAAACATCAAAGTAACTCCCTGTTCCCTATTATCTTTTATTTTTTTAGATCCGTATTTCGTCTTTTTAGTTCTCTTCATAATTTACTAATCAATAGTTATTAGTCAATAGTTTTAAAAAGTAATTCCTACTGACAACACAGATCTTGTTAAACAGCATTTTTTTATAGTAGAAGCATATCTATCAGAAACTCCAGTCCGATCGCAAGCTTATGCTAAATTTTTGAAATCCACTCCCCGAAGGTTCTCATTAAAAACTTATTAATGCTTTTAAAACTTTAAATGGACTTTGGACTAATGGACCCTATTTAAAAATTAAATTTACTTGTTAACTAGCTTTTAGACAGAAAATCATTTTCCTTCACCGGCAAATCAGTTGTATCTAACATTATCTTATGCTGAATGCTCTAATTGCTCAAGTTAATTTAAGCCGCTTTGGTCGTCAACATTACCAATAAACATTTTTCTTTTTGTTCTTTGTTCCTTTAAGAATTTTTGTTCTGTTTTAGGCACTTTGTTTTTGCATTTGCACCAATTAAAAA